TAATAATTATTTCTCAGAAAAAATGACAATTAGATAAATGAAGTGTCATGCTGACAATGGAGGTGGGAGTCCCATAGCCTAAGAGGAGTGTATGCAATAGAAGAAAATACTGTGCTATTTAGTGTTTAAGTTTAGAATCACGGGGTTCATAAAAGAGAGATAGCTTTAGAGATAAAAATTAAATAAAAATTTACCTTTTCTCTGGAGAAGTCAGATATAGAGATAATGTTGAGGGCATGCATAATGTGCTCATTTTCATTTACCTTCTTTAGAACTTCAGACTCTTACTGTACTGTCAGTTAAACAAACTGAATTATATTTTAAATATACCATGAATTAGGTATAGCAACAATAACCGAAATTTGGACTTATTTCTATTATAAAGGCAATTAATTATATGGATAACTCAATGTAATCCTGAAAGCAACTTGTGCTCTATGTAGAATTTATACACACACACACACACACACACACACACACATGTGTGTGTGTGTATAGGTATCAAAGATCTTCCTGCTTAGTAAGAGACATTGTCTCAAAAAATAAGGCAGACAATGATAGAAGTAATCATCTGTTGTTGAGCTCTGGCCTCCACATGTCAGTATATATCTGTACTTGCGCATCACACACACACACACACACACACACACACACACACACACACACACAATCATGGGGAAATACCATTCCACACAGAAAAACTAAAGCAACAAAAGAAAGAAGCTAGGGCATAAATCTGTACTTTTGTCACCATTGTATTTTACAATCAGTCTTTGTATCTAAATCATAGTTTATGAATGACAGGTTGGATCGTTAGTAGTCCTTGTCTGCTTAGTGTCAGGGCTGCATGTGGCACCATCATGCCACTGTATCACTAGTCATTTTACAAGAAGACAGAATGGCAATGACTCCCAAATTATGGTATATGAAAATATTAAGTGTTTATTACTATAACATCTAATCCATTAGATCCAGAATGAACTATTTGTATCACCTGTAGGTATAACAACTGTTTTAAAGTGATAGCATAATAAAAAAAAAACCCACAAAGCTTTCTAAAATGAAAGTAGTATGGCTACAAGTTGATAGTCATTGCACATAGATATTAAACTAATAGATATGCAATAGGTATGAGTATAGGATTCTGTGGGATAATACTCGTGTAGACTGTAAACTTTTGTCACTCGTATTAGTTTAATAAAATGCTGATTGATCAGTAACCAGGCAGTAAATATAGGTGGGGTGACCAGACTGGGAAGAGGGAAGACAGAGATGAAATCACCAGCCAGATGTAGAGGAAGCAAGATGAAATGCCTCACTGAGAAAATGTAGCAAGCCATGTGCTAAATATACGTAACAATTGTGGGTTAAATTAAGTTGCAAGAGCCAGTTAACAATAAATCTGAGCTAATAGGTCAAGCAGTTTATAACAAGTAAAAACCCCTGTGAGTTTCTTTGGATTAACTGGCTCTGGGACTGGGCAGGACAAAATTTTTATCTACAGAGCAATATATCATTAGAAGTTACTTTATGACTTTGTGCCTTTCGTAATAAGATCAGATAATCATTCAACCCCCATTGTGATTGAAGCTTATTTTGCTGACAACGGTAATTAGCACAAGGGCATACAGTTGACAACAAATAAAGACTGAGTTTCTGGAACACTCAGCACTGTGCCAGTGGTGGTGGATGACTCCAAGGAAACTCCAGATACAAAAAAGCTGCTGAGCGTAAGGTTTAAGAGAGACTGTGAGGATACATACAACCTGCCCAGGCTCAAAACTGACAGATTTCTAGGACAGAAAATAAGAAGTAGACCCAAAGTCTTTCCATCACTAAGAAGCTTTTTTTTTTCTTCAATTGATAGTTTCTGGGAGGGAAAACAAAATCACAATTGCCTAATGGAGTGTTACTGGGTATGTCAACCATATTCCAGGTCAGGCTCCATGCTAAGTAGCAGTTGGCCAACATAAAAATGATTCCATATTTATTTTTATTTTAAATAAATTATCTTAGTATGTGTAACACTTTTTGACTTTTTTGTTTAGCTTGCTGTGATATTTTGTCTTATTTTTGAGGAAAAAAAAGAACATGAAGTTGGATGATAAGGAAGTAGGCATGATCTTTGAGTGAAAATATGTACAAGTATATTGTATGAAAGCTGTTTAAATAATAAAAAAAAAATTAACAGGTAATGATTATGGTCCAGTCATTCAAATGAATGAGAAAGAGAAGAGTGACTTTAATGAGAGTCAATGAAAAAAAAATAACTGTGGTATAGTATACTTACTTGTCTCCTTCACTCCCCTTCTTTTCCTTGTTACCACTGAGAGTTTATGCCTGAATTCTTCATCATCAGATGAGTTTTTGTATATTTCAGAGTATAAACAAAATATTAGCTTCCACTTAATAACATTCAATAGTTGACTACAACCCATGTTCACTCCACAACTGCAACAACAAAAAATGCCTCCCAACTTTAACAAATCTCATGTCAAAATTGTCCTGAAATGAAAATAACCACCACAATGTTCTCTCTCCAGTTCCTCACCTATAGCTACTTCTGACCTCAACCTTGAAGTCTAGGACACATGGCCTGCCCTTCCTAAGTGTGTCCTCCTGTGAAAAGGTGGTTAATTTGATGGATATAGGGGAACTTACTATATTTATTCACAGCCTAGACTCCCTAGTAACTAGTCACCATATGCATATGGCTATTTTATCTTGTCCAAAAAAGAAAGACAGTTAGAGTCAAATTATCAAGTTGTAACCAGTACACAAACCTATCATGGCTTTTTCTTTCAGATAACAAAGAGCTTACATCCATTTTACATAGATTAGAGGGAACTATAATTTACAATTCTAGCTATAGAGAGTGAGACTTTTTTAGATGTGTACCTCAGCACATTTTGGGGAAATTTTATTTTGGAAAGTGTAGAATATTCCCATTATCATATCCCTTTCCGTTTTATGAGTGTAAGTATACCATCCAAGGAAACATCCTTCACCTTTCCTTTCCATTAATTTCTGGGAACGGCTGTCAGCACTTTCCAGTAACGTATGAAAATAACAAAACCTTTTTGAAAGTTTTTGGTAGGATGGTCTAACGTTGTAGAACGTTAGACTGTATCATCTTTCCGTTAAAATGTGGAAAAACCGCATTTAATATTAGGAAACGCCAGGAGTAACCAGAAAGTATTTGCTGTGGACTAGTTATTTCCAGGGAATTAATTCCTGCCTCACTGGTTAATCATATCCTTGAATTTAGGTGTTCACCCTGTGAAATAGTTAAATAATAATGCACGACACATTGTTAATCGACATAGAAAAATAAATAAAAACAGTTTATTTATATGGACGTCACCGGCTACGTAAATGCACTTGCTCCAGAATCTATTATAATGTACTTCAATTGCTATTTGTATTATTATTAGGTATGAGCTGCTTTAATTAACATACTTTGTGGAAGAGAAAAATGCTAAATAGCGTGGAGTAAGAGAATAGGAACAAGGAAGGTCACTACATATTTTTTAGATGATAGGGAGTCAGAGAAAAGAAAATTACTGCAATATCTGTTATTCTGGGCAACAAGAGAGGAAGAAAAGAAGGGAGAGAGACAAAGAAAGTCTATCAGTCTGTAACCCCGTTATGCTCATCCGGTTCCTTTAATGGATTTCAGTGGCTGTTGTAGCAACAGTTCCCTTGCCGCCGCCTTGCATGCACAAACAGTTACTTCTGCTTTGAACTGTCTGCTTCTCAAGTAACTACACGGTACATTTCATTTCATCTCTGAATTTGGGCATTTCCAGGTGGTGTGGAGTGATTAATGATGCAGCTTAGGACCCCCATCCTTGGGCGACATCCCCGGGAAGCAGGGATTTAGCAAGGCGTAAAGGCAGAAGATGGCTGGGCACTGAGCCCTTTTCTCCATAGCCATGGTCTTTGCAGTACAGTTGTTCCAGCTGCCAGAGGCTTTCTGGTTGCCATGGCAACCCTTGGGCTCAGTTGAGAACTCAAAGCAGAGCCTCTGAAGTTAGGAACCAAACACAGAAGCTCCACAAATGCAAATGAAATGCACTTGAGCAGGGGAAACAGAAGAATCGCCCGTGTCATATGCTAGGACGTCTTTGACGGCGGAAGCTAGTACAATCAGTTTTGTGTTTGTAAAACGAGAGAGTTCTTGCCTGGTATTCTTCATTACTGACATCTTCCCGTCATGAGAGATAATACGTTGCAAATTGGCGCACTAGAGCGCAGGCAGTAGCAGGGGGAGGGACCGAAACGTGCTTAACGGGAAGGCACCCAGACGGCTCATTCATTCACTTGAGTTTTACATTGTCCACCTCTAGAGAGCTCATTTGTGCAGGGCATTGTGTCCCGTCCTACATCTGCAAAAAGAAACAAGGCACTGTCCCGGAATCAAAAGGAAGTAACGATAATTACTCAAAAATAACAGGATTCTCGCAAGCCCGAAGAAAGTCTATTAAGCTCTTTCCACAGAGGGAGAGTTCCCTGGGCGTTCTCTTGAAGGCAATTAAAAAAAAAACTAAATGAATAAATAAGTAACTAAAAGGATAAATGAATAAATAATTCCTAACTCAGGAGAGGGAAGAGGTAGTGACCAGATACATTCCAATATACGGAAGGGCAGCAAAATAGCAGCGTTTCCCTTGGGAGCCCAACTGTCAAGGCCACGCCAATGTTTCTTACAGGCGCTGGAACGGAGAAGAGGTTTATTTTTCTTTCATAAAAAAAAAAAAAAAAAAAAAAAAAAAAAAAAAAAAAGCGGAGCTCTTTTCCCCACTGGGCTGGGCTTGATTTCTAGTATGGTAAACCCCGCCTTTCTGGAGCACTGATTGGTCCAACTCGTTTTGAGATAATTTATGCCGGCGTCCTCCCCGTCTGATTGGCTCCTTGGCTCAGTTCTTCTGGGAGTCGCATCCTACCTGGTTAGGAGGTGTCCTGTCTTTCCACACTCTCCCTTGTACTCACTGGGCGGCTGCTGAGGCTTGAGACAAACTCTGGGCTTGGGGACTGAGCTAGCAGAGCAGGGACCATAAAAGCGACCTGATGGGTTCTAGGAAAGCCTTCCTCTTCTCTCCTTCGCTCCTGTGGAGTCAAACTAGAGGAGTGAGGTTGATGTTCCTGTTACTAACCCTGCATTTGGGAAACTGGTGAGTAAATTCAAAGACTTAAAACTGTCTCCTTTAATTAATTAATTTGTTTTGTCCCACAATCATTACAAGAAATTTGCATTTTCCCGGGAACATGTGCAATGTTTGCCGTCATTGTATTTTCTGATCTATCTGTTTACTTGGAGACAACATGAAATCAGCCTTTTCTGAAGCCGGGGTGTTCACTTGTTTTTGAGTTCTATCGGGTTATAAACTAATAGAGGAACTAGAAGTAGAATTGACTTTCCTGCTGTATTTGGAATCAAATACTGTTGACAAACTTTGTGCATTTTAAATAATTTCAGAAACTTCTTGTTACATGTCATCATGTATATACTATTTGTATATAAGCCAATATTGTGATTTTTTTTCTCATTCGTGTTGGGGTAACTTTCTTGATTAAGTCAATCTTTTATATGCTATATTTGACCACGTATCTATCAGCTATGGAAAAATATATATCTCAGAAGGAGTTCTGTGTGTTTCATTAGAATCACTTTTGAAAGTCTTCACTGTAATTGGTTGCTTACTAATTAAAATTGAAATTATTCTGAATGTCTTAGCTGCATTTTTGTGTGATCATACCAAGCACAAACCTGCAGTTTGACAGGAACAAGAGTGGACCGTAAAACATATCAAAACCTTTGAAGTTGTGCTGATAGTGAAAGAAAAAGCTCACACGTGGACTAGGAACAAGCAAAGTGTAGAAGAAGTTGCCACCTTTGCTTAAGACATATATTCTTTAATAGCTTTATAAAAATGTACTATCCATGCATTGCATTATTTGTTTTATATACATTTACATTCAACGTTGTGACATTTGATGCTTTAGTGCTGTTTAGAACTCCAGTAGAGCCAAATTACTAGGAAGATAATTTTATGTAGATTTTCCTTCTCTTTACCAGTAGACAGAACATCTGCAAAGCCTCAGAATGTAGGCACTGAATATGATCATAATTAAAATTGGCCTTCCTGGATTCAAAATTTGATATTTGGTATGTTTGTGTTTCATTTGGGAATTGCAATTTTATTTATCTTTCTGCCTTCGTATTTTAAATGTTCTCTATGTACAGACAATGTAATAAATGTTTCATCCTATATAATGTCCAGTAATGGGTTATGTCCTTGAATATATCACATTTATAGACGATATTTAAGTAGAATAGGTACTTTTACACCACTGAATAAGTAAAATCAGATTGGCCCACTGGTTTTCTAGAGTAAGAGCCTGCATGCTCTTTTTGTCTTTATAGCTGCACATTTCTATGTAATCGTGTAAGGATACTGTCTTACAGAGAGCATATTGTCAGTCCCAATAGATACTTCATTTGGAAGAGTTTTACATTGCATTCATTGTTGCCAGCTTCCAAAGTCTCATCAAGCTGATACAGGGTAAAGTGTGCTGCGGTGCAGTGGGCAGGGCACTCACTGAATTTCCTACTCTTATGTGCCACAGCTCTTTAACCATACTCCATACGATAGTTTCTTCTGCAACATATATTATAGCAGTAGACCATGATGACTGCTTCCAGTGTTCAAATTCAATACATCTCTGATTTGAAATGAAATATGCAGTGATTTAAGGGTCTCTTCACAGGCCTGAGTAGTAGTAAAGAGGAAAATTCTAATATGACTACCATTCCCTATTTTTTACTATATGTTTGAAAGACTGAAATTAAGTTACAAGGTTCAAATTTATGAATAATTTATTTTATCTTTATTGTATATATAAACTGGATTTCTTTGTCAAATGAACAAATAAATATTGAAACAAATATATATATATATATATATACATACACACACACATATATATGTTGCTACTATAACTATGGTTTGAGTGCTTGAGTTATGAGTTTTTATGACTTTGTTTTGTATAGCAGACAAATTTGTTATAAATTTTATATTCTTTCAATATAGATTTGGAGAAAATTGGCATCAATACTTATAAACTATGTATGATCATATATATATATATATATATATATATATATATATATATATATATATATATATATATATATATTGTTCCCTCTTTGTGTGTGTAGCTTCTTTTTATAGCAAATCACAGACAGTTCTGTTTGAAGGAATTTCAATGTCATACTAGTTTTAAAATACACATTCAATGCCATCTATTTGGAGATTACTAAGTTGGATTCTATTACTTTTTATATAAATTCAATGGGCAGGTCTTATCTCTAGTAGTTTCCGTGAAAAGTGAAGGGAGACAGTGTATTGACTTTCCTCATTGCTGAATTATGAAAACGGATCCTAAAAGCTCTGACCTGTTGTATCTAAAAGCTCTGACCATGGATGCTGTTCTTCATTCTCCAGGAGAATCTGTGGCATCCTGACAACTTGGTTCATATTTCATCTGCTTGATTTCACTCTTTGTAATCTAGAGACAAATATGAGTGTAATCAAGTTTAGAAAGAGTTTGAAAAGTATCTTGAGATTTTAGATATTCTGAAAGGTAATCTAAATAGTAATCTTTGTCTGAGAAGTTACTTGAGTAGAAAACCAAAGAAATTCAACATATTTTAAAAATTTCCCTCAATAAAAACATTGTCCTCCAATTTTAAACATTAAGTTCAAATGCACTTACTTTTAAAATGTATTATTTTAAGTTATTTCATAAATAAGTTTTGGGGTGTTGTGCTTAATAAATGACTTTTCTTCATGTTTCTAGCTTTTAAACTTACTTTTGTAGTATAAACCAATGCAAATGTTACACAAGTACTTGTTCAAAGGACCCAAGGATAAACTGATTTTGAGATAAGATTGCAATTGATAAAAGTTCCCAATTGAAAATCTTTTAAATTACCCAAACACAAAATCCAGTCCAGTTGCTTTCCATTCTACAGATTGAAACACCTGTCGGGTAAGTAGAAGAGGAAATGCTTCATACTGCATTCAAATTTCATAAACATTTTGTATCTATATTCATGTTATTATGTTTGTTTATGAGTATAAGAATAAAGGTAGAGCCCCAAGGAGCTAGAGGCAAGGCAAGGATATAAAGCTGAATAAGGGCTGTGGAGGTCGTGGTAAAATGAAGGTAGCATGTGGCAAGTGACTTCCTAGATGAAAGGGAATGAGTGGGAACAAGCTAAATGAAAGATTTTAGTTGAAAATTGTACATGGGAGGTATCAAATGAGAATTCTGATCTTTGTTGTCCAGTTTCAATTTCAGTTCCATTGTCACTTCTTCCTGAATGATTTCAGACAAACTTTTGGGGCACATAGAACTCATTTTTCAAAATTATTTCAAGAACATTAAAAATATTCAGGAACAGGACAGAAAAATTTGGGAAGGACATAGTAAGAAATATGCTATAAACTCATCATAATTCTCATATTATTTATCTTTGTTAAAGTGGTTTGAAATACAATAGAATTGAATATCGAATGTTAGATATTATTAAGTACCCAAAAGGAATATGTTTCTTTGCTTGGTTCTGTATGTGGTATATTAAAGAAATGTATCTTTCTTATTGTTCTTCCCTCAATGGCGAGACCTTGTAACATGTCCCCCACCAATGTTGGGATGATAAATGAAATTTATTATTTAAATTCTGTTTGGGCAACTATACGGTTGAGATTTCATGGGTGCAGATTCCCTGTCACATCTAAAGAACCCTATCTAGCAGAAAGTGTCCTGATCCTTTGGCTTTAACAATCTTCCATCTCCTCTTCTTCCATTTTCCGTTAGCCTTAGTGTACGGGTTGCATTGTATATGTGTTAACTGGTGATGAGGTACTCCATGGTCTCTGCATTTTTACCAGTTGTTTATCTATCTCTACAATCTTCTTAATTTGTTGGAAAAGGAAGCTACTTGATGAGCTTATACTCTTATTCATGAGTATACAAACAATTATTGAGAAAACAGTTAACTATTATATTAGTTTAGGAAAAACTGCTAGGAGGCACTCCTCTAGTGTTTATCATGTCGCTAGTCAAGGGTAGTTGGCTAGGTTGTAGAATCAGTTATTAATTCCCTCCTATTGAGTAGGCCTTAAGTATGATTAGACAGCTGTTGGTTACCCTCCAATTAAATAACTCATTATTATACCAGCGGTGGTTTCTCATCAGTTGGTAATTGTTGTGGCTAACTGGCTTTATGATGGATAGGAACAGCAATTGCTTTTCTCTCTTGGCAGGTTACACAGCAATTTCTGATAATACAGTAGCTAGTACTTAAAGAGGCTTTCAGAACACTCCCAGCTTGGTTGCCTCAAGTCCTGTGACTGAACTGTATGTAGTCTTACCTTTGAAGTAAGCGAAGAGTAATGGTAATAATCTATGTTGTTTTGAGAGTCTATTTGACCCACCTGACTAACTCAACAGGCAGTGTCTCATTACTAATATGGAAGATTTGTTAGATAGTCTGTGGCTACTGGGATGAGCATTATAACCCCATAATGAGTAACATTATGAACATTGCCTCTCTCAGGATAATTTTTCTAGTTCCATCCATTTGTCTGCAAATATTATATTTTATTTTTTAATAACTGAATAATACTCCATTATGTAAATGTACCATATATTTTACTCATTCTTCAGATAAGGGACATCTAGGTTGTTTCCAGGTACTGGCTATTATGAATAAAGCTTCTAAGAACAATTTGAACAAGTGTCCTAGTGGTAGGATGGAGCATCATTTGGCTATATGCCCAAGAGTGGTATAGCTGCATCTTGAGGTAAATTTTTTTTCTCAATTTTTTGAGAAACTGTCAGTTTCCAAAATAGCTATATAAGTTTGCATTCCCACCAGCAATGGAAGAGTTTTCCCTTTGTTCCACATCCTCACCAGCATGAACTGTTTTGATCTTAGCCATTCTGACAGGTGTAAGATGGAATCTCTGGGTTGTTTTGATTTGCATTTCCCTGAAGACTAAGGATGTTGAACACCTCTTTAAGTGTTTCTTGGTTGTTTCAGATTCAAATGTTAAAAATTCTTTGTTTAGATCTGTACCCCATTTTTAAATTGGACTGTTTG